CTAGGCCGATTTCTGCGGCCCACCGTTGTCTGACCGCTCGTGGCTAGGCCGATTTCTGCGGCTCACCGTTGTCTGACCGCTCGTGGCTAGGCCGATTTCTGCGGCCCACCGTTGTCTGACCGCTCGTGGCTAGGCCGATTTCTGCGGCTCACCGTTGTCTGACCGCTCGTGGCCAGGCCGATTTCTGCGGCCCACCGTTGTCTGACCGCTCGTGGCTAGGCCGATTTCTGCGGCCCACCGTTGTCTGACCGCTCGTGGCTAGGCCGATTTCTGCGGCCCACCGTTGTCTGACCGCTCGTGGCTAGGCCGATTTCTGCGGCTCACCGTTGTCTGACCGCTCGTGGCTAGGCCGATTTCTGCGGCCCACCGTTGTCTGACCGCTCGTGGCTAGGCCGATTTATGCGGCTCACCGTTGTCTGACCGCTCGTGGCTAGGCCGATTTCTGCGGCCCACCGTTGTCTGACCGCTCGTGGCTAGGCCGATTTCTGCGGCCCACCGTTGTCTGACCGCTCGTGGCTAGGCCGATTTCTGCGGCCCACCGTTGTCTGACCGCTCGTGGCTAGGCCGATTTCTGCGGCCCACCGTTGTCTGACCGCTCGCGGCTAGGCCGATTTCTGCGGCTCACCGTTGTCTGACCGCTCGTGGCTAGGCCGATTTCTGCGGCCCACCGTTGTCTGACCGCTCGTGGCTAGGCCGATTTCTGCGGCCCACCGTTGTCTGACCGCTCGTGGCTAGGCCGATTTCTGCGGCTCACCGTTGCGTCGTGGTGTGACGTTTTGGCACGACTCACTGCGTCGCGGCCGACCGTAGACGGTTGGATCCCGATCTGTGCGCCTGGAGCCGCTAAATGTATGATTGATTCTCGATAGGGCCGGCCGGCGCATTTGTGTGGGCTCGCTGGCCGCGCGGCCCGTATGGTGGCCGTCCGTGTGCGTGTGGCCGCGTCCCGCGCCCGCTCGCAGACTGACCTGCCTCTCACGGAGCCGCGCCACCAAGACGCGACCACCGCTGGCCAGGGAAGGCGGGCTGCGCGTCGCTGGCTGACGAGCCTGTGTGATGAGTTGAGGCTCTCAGGTGTGAATGGTGTGCACTTATGGAGACTAGTTCCCCCATCCCCATCCATTTATCCCCATCCCCCATTCCCCCATCCCCCCCAAAAAATATCCCGTCAGCTGAAAAATAATGGCGGACTAAAAATACCCGCCCACCGAAGCCAAGAACTTCACAAACAAAATAATCAGCAAACTCTGGTGGATACTTATTCCTCGCCCATTGTCAGCTGACATCAGTTACGTCATACTTCAAGGAGATAACTAAAGCGTTTCAACCATGTTTTTTATTTGAATGGAAGCGTAAACAAATCAGACGAAGTGGGACCTAGTAAAATACTTTATTTGAATCGTTACGCGTTTTTCCCCTAAGGCAGGGTGTAAAAAAAAACAAAGAGTATATATTTTCAATTTATTATAAATATTCTGAGCAGATAAAATGTTATCAGACGCAGATGTCTTCGGAAAGGTAAGGAGAGGAAAGTTGCGTTGGAGGTGGCTCTTGTTCATCTTGTTGGCTAATTGTAGTTCAATTCTAAATAATAATTTTCAGTTTTTTATCTTGGACTTTTTTGGATACATCTTGGATGGGGTTTTTCGGTGTACTGATCAATAATTTCATGTTGGTTTTGATCGCAAATGATGTCTATGTGCATTTAGGCTAGATTGGGTCAGGTCAGGTCAACCAGTAGACGTCTTGCCTACTGGTATGAATGCCCTACTGGTCAACCAGTATAGGGTATTCATACAGGGTGCTCATTAGCCCGCGCCCTGGTGGGGATGGTGCTATTTTTTGCCCCCCTCCCCTCCAGACTTTTCAATATAGCCCTTACCGACTTCTATTCACATACCAAATTTTAGATCGATATCTCTCTTTTCGGCCAAGTTATAGCGAAAAGGCTGTTCAAAATTGATAACGTTAAATTTTCAAACTCAATCTTAGCAATTCTAGACCACGTAGCGCAAAAAAAAGACCGCCATTAGCTCGCCGTGACGAGCTGCATCGAATCAATACCCATTTTATGCAAAAATATCAACTTTGAAATTTGACCTTTTTTGACCTGACATTGACCTGCCCTCCACCAGGAAGTGACCTAAACCGTGATAGTCTTATAATCTACACCATTGACTCTCTAACTATGCTCCAAAATGCCGAAGATCCGAAAAGTGCCCCGCCAAAATCGATGCCGCTAGACGGGCGTATAAGTTTCAAGTTGATCTTTTAAGCCGTCTGCCGTTCAGAGCGCCGCCGAGTCGGCCTATTTAGACGTCCGATTTCATTAGAATCCAGAATGATTTTCGGCGAAATGCACAAAACCCGTGCACTGACAGCGTGCACACCTAGCAAACAACACGGAGACGGTCGAGACGCGTCGTTTCATACCACCCACTCTGACCTGCAACATGCGTGTGAGCCGCCAACCGCGTTCGTCAATAAGAGGGGTTTGCTTTATATTACTTATAGGCTTACGTAAAACCGTTCAATTAGACGTCGGTGCTCATGAGAAAAACTCACCGCTCCGAGAATCGAACTCGGCTCCTCTAGATGATATGCGAAGATCATAGCCACTTGCCCACAGGCGCTTCGTGAATGTTCGGTCTGATTGACATTCAAATTTTGCAGGCAAATGTGTTTACCAATTATGCTATCGTAAGTATCATCATCCATGATACTCGTCGCATCACATCAATCAAACAATCAAAATCAATCACGCTGCAACCATCTATACCAATACGGCCTTGGCAACGATTGTTTACAAACAAAATCGCGCGCTCGCCGCACTGCGCCGCCCGCCGCGCTGTGAAAACAGCTGGCTAACCAACTTCGCTCCGCCCCTTCTCTGACGTCATGGCCGACGTCACGCCAGCGGCTGGTGCAATATGATTGGCGCTCCGAAGGCGTGTACCTATACAGTTTGTAAATGCGCCTCCGGGCTACGGTCACCGGGCGCTGACCGTGTGACGTCACAGCGCTCCGGGCTACGGTCACCGGGCGCTGACCGTGTGACGTCACGCGTGTGACGTCACAGCGCTCCGGGCTACGGTCACCGGGCGCTGACCGCTGCCGATCGACCCACTGCCGAACAGGACTGCACTGCACCACACTCTAGTAAAAAATATATCTATTTTGTTCCAATTGGCAAACCAAAGCTAATCCCAAGCTACCCGACGTTTCCCACTGTTCGTCCCTAGCGAGTCAGCGACGTACTGGTTGGGGGAGGACAAAAACTCAAAATTTGACGTTCTTTCCAAGCACGTTTTCCTGCAAAGGTTTTTGCACCAAGCTTGTTAAGTATTCATTTTACTGGCATCGCGTTTCTCTCGTTGAGATGCGTCGATTGAACTAAAAGTTGACCTGAAAGGTCAACTTCAAAATTCGACCCCTGGCTAAGATCACGGAAAAGGTTACGTTGCATATAAATTGATTCGCATCGTCGGGCTGAATGTATCTGAGGTATTTACATCCCTCTAGCACGTCTATTTGTAACGTTATCGAAATAACTGTTGGATACCTTACATGACCTGAGATGACCTCAGGGACATGACGATGGATCACGGATGCAATTTTCCGATACAGTAATGCCCTGTTCGCGTGATGTTTCAGGATCAATAGAAGTCTGATAATATGACAAAAAAAAACTTTGTATTTCAAACGTTTCGAATTTATCAAAAGTCATCTTCAGTGTTCAGACAGACAAGAAGGGGCATAATTACATAGTGACATAAATCGTCATTCGTGTTTGTTCGGTCGTCTTCATACAGGAAGATACTTAGTTTGAACGCAGGTCTCGATATTATGACTGCTCTGGAAGACACCTTCGTAATTCGTAATAGACACCTTCATAATTTGAGAAATTTTAATGGGTTTTAATTTTCACATAGTCCTGCCCCCACTGCCCCACGGTAGTCCCGTCCGTGTATTCAGAAATGTCGTTGAAAAATTACTTGAAAAAAGTATGTTTTGCGCCGATACAAAACTGAACACATTCATTGCTTTGTTTCTGTTATTCAATTAAAATGAACTGAACTGAATGCTCCTGTGCGCCGCGCTGTCACGGTTCAATGTGGTCCTGTGCGCCGTGCTGTCACGGCCCAATGTGGTCCTGTGTGCCGTGCTGTCACGGCCCAATGTGGTCCTGTGCGCCGTGCTGTCACGGCCCAATGTGGTCCTGTGCGCCGCGCTGTCACGGCCCAATGTGGTCCTGTGCGCCGTGCTGTCACGGCCCAATGTGGTCCTGTGCGCCGTGCTGTCACGGCCCAATGTGGTCCTGTGTGCCGTGCTGTCACGGCCCAATGTGGTCCTGTGCGCCGTGCTGTCACGGTTCAATGTGGTCCTGTGCGCCGTGCTGTCACGGCCCAATGTGGTCCTGTGCGCCGTGCTGTCACGGTTCAATGTGGTCCTGTGCGCCGTGCTGTCACGGCCCAATGTGGTCCTGTGCGCCGCGCTGTCACGGTTCAATGTGGTCCTGTGCGCCGTGCTGTCACGGCCCAATGTGGTCCTGTGTGCCGTGCTGTCACGGCCCAATGTGGTCCTGTGCGCCGCGCTGTCACGGTCCAATGTGGTCCTGTGCGCCGTGCTGTCACGGCCCAATGTGGTCCTGTGCGCCGTGCTGTCACGGTTCAATGTGGTCCTGTGCGCCGTGCTGTCACGGCCCAATGTGGTCCTGTGCGCCGTGCTGTCACGGTTCAATGTGGTCCTGTGCGCCGTGCTGTCACGGTTCAATGTGGTCCTGTGTGCCGTGCTGTCACGGCCCAATGTGGTCCTGTGCGCCGTGCTGTCACGGTCCAATGTGGTCCTGTGCGCCGTGCTGTCACGGCCCAATGTGGTCCTGCGTGCCGCGCTGTCACGGTTCAATGTGGTCCTGTGCGCCGCGCTGTCACGGTTACTGCCTAATGTGGCTGGCTGCTGATTCTTTGTCCAGTTCAGTTGATTCGCTGTCCTATCCACAGGCAGTACATCAACATACCCATTATCGAGGAGGACAGCTACGAAAAGGACGTGCTCTTCTATGTGGAGCTCGGGGAGCCTCGCTTCCTCTCAGGTGGGTGTGCCGGGATGGGCGACTTCCCGCAGCTCTAGTAGACGATGGAGGCCCGCTTCCTATCCGCTAACGAGACCGTCGACCCTCGTGATCATGGAGAAACGTAGAGCGACTCTTCTTTTGTTGGGTTAGGCCCTTGCGGTCTATTTACACCAGTTCAGGGCCGGAGGGATGATAGGAACTAGGGAGAGACTGGTATGGGCGGGCACCCTAGTGCGTCATCGAGGCTGAGCCCGCTCCGAAGGACAGGCCGACCAGCCCCAAGGTACTCACTGCACCCGGCCACGGGTGTGCTCCCTCGGGAGCAGCGTTGCCGCTCCAAGGGAGCAGCCTGCATGGGATAAGGTTGCCTGTCCAGCCCGGAGTGGGGGTTGCGGCGTGGAGGAGAAGGATTTCAGTATCCTGAGGATGGAAACGACGGACGGGTGTGTAGTAGAGCGAGCTAGCGGAGATGCGTATCTAGCTATGGATTCGGCGCGAGTGGCTGCGGGCTGGTATTGTCGGGGGACCGAACTGCTGTGCTGCGCCGTGCTGAGGCCGCTCGCTGTACCGCCCACTGATTCCGCCGTGCTGAGGCCGCTCGCTGTACCGCCCACTGGTTCCGCCGTGCTGAGGCCGCTCGCTGTACCGCCCACTGATTCCGCTACACGTGCTCTGTGTGGCGCCGGCTGGGCCCACGGGGACGCTCACCGGCCGTCTGCGTAAGTGGCTCTGGTGGCCGCCGCTGCCTGCGCCGGCCGGCGGCGGCGGCGTGGTCCGCTCTCCTTTGTGGCAGGATCCAGAGGTTGCAGCGAGTGTGGGCGCTGCCCCCCTTGCGCCGCCGCCGCCGCCGCCGCCGCCGCCTGTAGAGATGCAATAGGAGCTACGCTATGTTCGTCAATCTAGCAGCAGATTGATGCTCGCGAATCCGCTGCTATTAGCCAATCCTTGGCCAGCCCGAATATGTTGCTGGTGACGGCGGATTCGCCGTATGTCCGTCTACCAGCAGCAGATTTGGGCCAATACCGCAGATTTGTACAGGGCACAGGAAAATCACTGTCGCGAATCCGCTGCTGAGTGGGATCACTTAGAGGGGCCAATCTGCCGCTGCCAAATGCCGATGTGGCGAGCTTCTGTCCGACGCAACTACTTGAAATTTCCAAAGTCTGCTTCAAACAACCTCACATTTTAGTACCTACTCATGTTTTGTCGCGTTCTTTTCCGCCCGGGGAAAGACGAGACTCAAGAAGCAGACACCTTTCTCTCATGTCATACGCATTGGTCAGAATGTCGCCAGCTCGCCCATGGGAGATGTCCATTCTTACCGCTATGTGATGAAACCACAGTTTTAGATCCAGTATCCCAATCCCCAGGTTTTCGGCTTTTGACACATTCGACGGTGGTTTTTGATATTGTGTATCTTAGACGCTGTTCTTGAGCAATGCTCCGAACAGATCTTGTGGTTTTGACGCATTTGTTCTATGCAGGGGTCATTTGTACTTTTCCTCTATTGTTTTGCAATGGTGAGATCACGAACTTGACCTGGTCACTCACAGGTCACAGACAAAAAAAAAAACGAAATATGTAAATTGTTTGCGCTGATGCCCTCATGCAATACACCGAGTTTCAATATTATGTAATAAGATAAGCTGTATGGAATGAAAGGATCGTGAAGTTTTTCTCTTGTGTCCCCGTGCCGCCGCTGACGCTCCCCGTGGCGCCGCTGACGGTCCCCGTGCCGCCGCTGACGGTCCCCGTGCCGCCGCTGACGCTCCCCGTGGCGCCGCTGACAGCGGACGCAGGCGCCGTGCTGGATCTGCAGCGCCGGCCGGCGGCGGAGCTGACCGACCAGCAGCGTGTGGCGCTGCTCGGCCGGCCGCGGCTCGGAGACGCCGTGCGCGCACAAATCAGGGTCAAGGAGAGCAAGGAGTTTAAGGTGAGCGCCCTGTCCACTGCCCCTGCCGCCTCTGCGCGGCTTCGTCCCAGCGTCCGTATGTGTGACATTGAACCCCCCCCCCTACCCCCTACCTCCCCCCCCCCGTGTGAGTGGCCCAGGACCACTGCGTGGAGCCCGCAGCCTTTTCGATAGGCTAGCGCGCGCACCGTCGCCAAGCGAATCTATGTAAATAGTTGGCAGTAGAGCGATGACCAGGGGCGTAACTTTATAACTCTTTGGGGGGGGCTTGAGCCCCCCCCTGTGCTGAACTGAGCCCCCCTTGGGAAGCTTAGAGCCCCCCTTGATTAATTTTTAATTCTTGACAAAACACACACAAATAGCAAAACACCAACATCCAATTTTCCTATTTTCCAAGGTACAGTGTGTCTAAAAAGAATGTCCCGTCGCCACTACGCGGCGCTGGTGTCGCGAGCCGGTAGTTGGCTGAATCCGCACCAGACTACAAATTCCCAAGCGCTGGGTCAGACAGCTGCGCAGCGGCCGGTAGTAGCGTAAGCCGGAACCTTCGTGACATGACCCCGGGAGGGAGGGAGTGGGAGGGGAGCGGGCGGGGCAGCGCGTTTAGTGAGGGGTGCGCCGGTAAGCTGGTAGTTGTCGCGGCAAAACGACAAGGGTTCTGGCGCAAATGGGTGAAATGCTGATGTGGGCACAAGGTGGGGATAGGGAAGCTTTTGGATGTGTTGTGTGTGTGTGTGTGTAGGTGTGTGTGTGTGTGTGCCTCTTACGAGGAAAAGGTGTCACGTTGGTAGCCGTGTCTGAACCAAAGGGTGCACTGAAGCCTTGTCAACTTCGTAGGTCGGTGCAGAAAATGACATTGTCCCAAAATGTCTTCATTTGGGTGGGAAACAACATCAAAATAAAACTAATTTTACACTTTCATCTCTAATTTTCAAAGGCAATTGTCCAGAATTCACTCCAGCAATTTTACTGAGAAAAGTATTTAAATAGATTGTCGTTTAACATTCTACATTTTACCAACTTGTATACCTAACAATTTATGTCATTGCTCCCTTTTTTCTATTTTTTGGCATTACATGAAATGCAATTTTCCACTCTTATCCCCGTTTTTGAGAGGAATTTTCCCTCTGACACCCTTAACCCTCGCCGGCCGAGGGGGGAGGGGGGGGGGCGGGTGAACATCATTTCACACAAAGATTAAAAAGGCATTGATACGGTGCACTGACATACGCTGAATCGCGATTCCGGCCTGACATGGTCTCGACTAACGGGTCACCTTACGTTACCTTCCTTATACGGTAATCGGGTTGTAGGAGGCCAATTTTGCCTGTGGGGCCCGGTCTCAGCGAGCTCCCAGTGCTCGCTGAGACCGGGCCCTCAGTTCCGAGACAGTCAGCCTCAATAGGTTAGGTTAGATTGGGGTCAGGTCACAGGTCATATGTCATTTGGGTCAGGGTCGATAACTTATCATGGTATGTTTAAACTGATTAATACGAGGGTAGTAAATGTTTCATCGCGATCGCCATCATTGCGCGAATTATTTGCAAAAAACCGAGAGGGAGGGGGCCACTCGCCCCTCCCTCCCCCCATAAGTGCGAGGATTAAGGCCAATGGCTTTCATCTGACCACCGACCTTGAAACCCATCATACTTAATGGGAACAACATCATTTCACATGCTAACACGTTTATAATAAAGTCTGGAAACTCACCGATAATATCGACAGTTCCGAGCAAGAACATCCTAAGTGTCAAATTTTTCGAATTTGAGATATTATACCATTCGACTCAGCTCGACGAGGTGAGTCGAATGGTATAAAAATCTAACTTCGAAAAATTTGACACTTAGGATGTTCTTGCTCGGAACTATCGATATGCGCTGGTATAATACGCCGATCGGAATTCTGGTCCGACGTTGTCTGGAGAAACAGTCCGTTACGGTCCAAGGCGGACATGAGGACAGGTGGCGCCGCCGCCGCTCGCATAGCGGCCGGAATGTGAACTAACCTGTTTACCATAGGGGACTGTCTTAACGGCCGCCGTCGGCACCATTTCGGGCTTCTTTTTGACTTTGCAGCGCAATTAAAGGCTAATTTATAATTGAAAATGGACTAGCGAGAGTCGTTATGGAATCGGAATTTGATGCTCTACAAAACTAGGCTATTTTCATTGTGATGGCATCACAGACTACACCGCCAACCCCAATAAAGCAGAAATATGTCGCGTCATCGGTGATGACATAGCATGTTTCTTTGGTATAGACATTGAAAAGTATAACACTTTTTACTGCATCTACGGTGCGATGCTAGAGAAAATTGTATGGCCTACCTAATGGTACCCATTACTTAACAATTTGGTGTAACATTTCGTCGCCAAACTCTCGTAGATTCGTATGTCCGCCTCACTATGGAGTTTGGACCGTAATGCACAGCTCAAATGCTAACTATAGGTCAGGGTCCTTAAAATGTTAGAGGATGTTTAAAACTAAACAAATCGGGAGTACTGGTAGCTACTCTGCGACCGGTCGACTTCTACGCGAGTTGTTCGGAAAAACCAAGGGATTCATTCGACACCCCCTTCCTTTAACCCGCGCCCAGATGGGGTCTGCCGAGCAACGCGGTCTGATGGGGGGGGGGCCATTTTGGCCCCCCCCCCTCAGATCTCGAGAACCACGCAACATAGCGACAAGCGGTAAACGGTGTTGGATAGCCCCAACGGGGAACTACCTTGTGACCCAATTTCATTGACCTCGGTCAAACCGATGACGTCACAGGTCAGGTCAAAGGTCGAATTTTCACCGTTTACAGGCATTTCAAGAAATGCGTTGTAAAATCAAGTAAAATGCATTTCATTGAAAATCATCGGTGGAGAAATGTTCTTCAAACACATATTTTGCTATTTGAGGTCACTGATACCAGGTCAGGTCACAGAGGTCAGGTCACTGGGGGGTCACAATATGAAAGTGTCGTGTGATACATGTTTTATGGTCCATTTTACATGACAAATGCGATGATGTGGGTCAGACAGACTTTAGGGCCAGCTTAGGTCACGTTTTGGTCAAGGTCAGGTCAAGGTCAGGTAAAATTAGGTCAAATTTCAAAGTTGATATTTTTGCATAAAATGGGTATCGATTCGATGCAGCTCGTCACGGGGAGTTCAATGGTGGTCTCCGTTTTGCGCTACGAGGTCTAGAATTGCTACAAATTGAGTTCAAAAATTTGACGTCATCAATTTTTAACAGTTTTTTTGCTATAACTTGGCCAAAAAAAGAGGTATCGATCTAAAATTTGGTATGTATATCGAAGAGCATAGGGACTATCACATATATTCCGTTTTTTTCGAAATTCGAAAAAAATTTGGAAATTTTTTGAGTTTTTCTAAAAAAATCATTTTTTTTTTATTTTTGGGGGTCAAAATCCCAAAATTTCGAAAATCCGAGATAGCAGTTTTGTAGCGCCGTTTTTTCTCTACACAACCACATAAAGAACTTTAAAATTGCTTGTTAAGTGTGGAATTGGTGAGCGTTTCAAGATGTCATGTTTTTTGTTCATTTTTGCTCGAACATGACCTCAGTTTGACCTCAATAACTCCTGACCTGAGGTGACCTGTGACTTGAAATTTTGTGTGAAGGTGTCAAATTGATGCCCGGTAAGGTACCCAAAATTTGGCGGCGCTGCGCGCCGCCGTTTTCTCGCTATTTAAGAAAAACCACAGGGGGGGGGGCCAAAATGGCCCCCCCCCCATCAGGGCGCGATAGTTAACTTTGCTAAATCTCGTCCGTGTTGGTCATTTAATAAACAGTTGCTAACGATCAACTGGGGCTTGCACCCCCACCCACGAACAGTTTGGACCTGATTGGGTTGGGTATATGGCTTTGTTGAAGAAAGCGAGCGCATTGCTCGTGACCTATAACCCTAACGATGGTTGAACGTTGTTTCAACGACTTCAATGCTTCAAATTCAACGATTCGAATGCTTAGCTTCGAGGTCAAGTCAATAGCTTAAATGTAAAAAAGGAGCCTCCTACATCTTCTTGAAATGAAGTTTTCTTGGCATATCGTTTGGCTTTTATTTAATACTTTTTGTGAAAATATCATTTGTGCATTCGGGTTAGGCTGCAACCGGTCAGTGGCCTCTATGAACACCGAATAGGAAACCCGAGGTCTAAGACCCCGCTATAAAGGCGAGGGTTAGCCTTTCAACACTTAATCATGGTACACTCAGTTGTAGTATTTTCAACAAACACATTTCAGAGCAATCAACACTGCAAAACAAGTCAGCACCTCTCACACTGCACAGAAACGGTTAAGAACAGACACAAATAACATAGCGAGCTAGCGGTGCGTTCAAGGCTTCCTGACTCAGCAGTGGCCGATACGGAGTCAAACGGCAGCAGGCTCCGAACAGACGCAGCGGCAGCCACAGCTACGGCAGCATCGCCGCCGGCGACAAGCTAGACTCTCGGAATCAACCGCTCGACGGTTGTCGGTCGTCGGTCTCGAGTCAGCAGCACCATACCTGGAGCGGAGCATGTGCTCGTGAGACATGACATGACATGGCATGGCATGAGCTCGTAAGACAGACCAGATCGATAGGGACCAATAATTTTATATATTTTACAATATTTATATATTTTACAATATTCATCAATGTAAGGTTTACCCCATACAATCGATGTTGCTGTAAATGCATTGGCGGCTGAAGTCATTTTCTAAATTCACCAACCTTACTTGCGCTCCTAGTATCCGTGTGTCCGCCGCCGCTCTCGATGACGGCCTGCAGACGGCCGGGCATCGAAGCCGCCAGAGAGGCAAACATCGCCGGCCGGGATCGCAGCTCCTCCCACTTCTTCTCCACGCGTGTCCACAGCTGGTCGGAGGTCAGGCCGCGCAGACCACCGTCCTCGCCGAGCTCCCGGGCCATTACGCCCCACACATTCTCAATGATGTTGAGGTCTGGACTCTTGGGAGCCCACTCCACGACAGCCACCTGTAATGATGAGTCGCTTTTAATTGTGATATTGATGTCCGTTTTCATTTTGCCTTTACGCGTTCGTCTGCAATCTATGATGAATTTTTCCTAATTAACCCGGCGGACGCTGGGCCTCCGCGCCACCCGCCGGCCGCTTGGGGGGGGGGGGCATATAGTTGCCCCCTTTACTTCTGCGACAATATCGCAATCGTCGCGAAGAGATAGAAAAGCGAAACTTTGCACACATCTTCCTGAATACCTAGCCGAGGTTGTGTCTAAATTTGGTGTCGATTCCGTTTGAAATGATGTCACATTGACGTCAGAAGTCAAATTATAGGTTTGCGACTCTCAGTTTTCTCACGATATATCCGACAGACGAGACCGAATATAAAGGACCGATTACTGGTCAGGAACTAGTTGGAAGAGTACTTAGATGTTTAAGGATGACAGCAGGTGCTGTCTGGTTCATTTACAGTTGAGTTTCATGCTCAGCGACATCAGAAGCGGTCCATATCGGAAAACGACAAAACTTTATGACGTCACTGTGACGTCATCTTAAGTGCTACAACCACCACAGTTTCCTCAAACATTGCCTAGGTATTCATTTGAAACTATGCAAAGTTTCACATTCGTAGCTCATCAGGTTTCGGAGATATTCCACAAAACGTAAAGGGTGGGGGCAACTTTATGCCGCCCCCCCCCCCCCCATGGCGGCTCGTGGGTTTGTTTCGCTTATTGCTAAGCATTTGCCACTCTTCAGCCATTTCTTCTGTTCTCAGATACAAAATAAGTTGAACACTTATGATTTGACATTAGAAACCAGATAGACATGAATATTATAATTATAAAATAAGAAAATTTATTTGTTTACTCCACAACTTTTCAGCAGATAGCAATATAATCATTTACTTGAGCTTGGTGCTCCTCAAACCAGTTTTTGGTGACGGCTGCCGTGTGTTGAGGAGCATGGTCTTGCACAAGCACGTGCTGGTGAGCCGCCCCTCGCATTTGCTCCAACGTCGGGAGCAGGACCTGGTTCAAGAGAGCAACAGTTTTCATTGTTTTATAAAAAAAAAATCTCATACAATTGTGGATCATGCAGCATGCTTAATTTGCACAGGTGTGTTTTACCGTTTGACGCAATCAAGTTGCAGTTATTCCTCGTTATTCAGTGGGCCACCCATAAATATGCTAGCTACATTCGTTGTTGGAAATAAAATTTTCCCACATTTCCTACGCCAATACAGCTTGTTTTGCTCATTGTCTGATTTTTAACGAACAATTCAAACGGCAGTGATTAGATAGATCACGCTTCCTTTAGCTCACAAGCTTTATACATAAATCGACAAATATTTGTCATTAATTTATCAGTCAGTTAATCGTCAGTAGTTTTTACCTCATCGAGAATCTCCACATATGTGTCAGCTGTGTGGCGCCCGATGACACGGTGGAGTTCTCCGGGCCCAAACCCATCCACCCACCCCCACGCGTGAACAGACTGCCGTCCACTAGCGTCTCTTGTCCGTAGGAAGGACTCCGAGTCGCGCAGTCCCTTCGGCCTAAAATGAGGAAAAGAATAGCATTACAGGGCGATATCGGCAGAAAGAGAGAGAGAGAGAGAGAGAGAGAGAGAGGGGGAGAGAGAGAGAGAGAGAGAGAGAGAGAGAGAGAGAGAGAGAGAGAGAGAGAGAGAGAGAGAGAGAGAGAGAGAGAGAGAGAGAGTTGTTTGTCCTATGTTGGTTCTATGCATTACTGTGGGTGTCAAGGTCACGTGAATATCAGGTCAAGGTCATTGATCTTTGATGACCTCGATTCACTTTTTGAGTTATGTTCTTAAGGTAGTTTTTGGAGCTGATTTCGAATTTGGCGCCCATTTAAACATTTACGAAGTAGTTTTGGTGCCTTCGTAATATATTACGAGCCGTCAGTAGTGCTTGACACCTACGATGGATAGCCGGCAGGACGCCTACTGGTTGACCTGACCTGGCCTGGCCCGACCTGGCCTAAATGCATCAAGACATAATCTGCGATCAAACCTAAAATGATATTCGTGACCAGGACCCCCCAAAAATATAGCACCTTCACTATACGAAGTTCTAGCAGGGCCCGATTTTCCCGACTTTTGGGTCATTGACCTGACCTGGAAGGTCGACCAATGATCTAGGACCTTAAACTTGAATATCATCGGCTTCCTATCGCCAGGGGCAGCACTCTCGTTTTTTTTTCCGCGAAGCTCTAGCTCCATCGGGGGCCAAACGGCAAGGGAATCCAACGGACCTCCGCCCCCTCCCCCTATACGTTAGACGCTGGCAAAACACGAAACGGGCGAGGGTTAATAATTATGAAATTGCTCCGTTGAAGAACGATTGTCATTTAACTGCAAATGACATTGTTCGATTGTATTGAACAATGGATTTCATTCCATACCTTCGGACAAGCAGCTTTCCCGTTTGGTCAGTCCGGAAGATTTTCTCGTCCGAGAAAATAACTCTTGACCAGAACTCCACGGGCTTCGGGAGCAGTTCTTGGGCGAAAAGCACGCGGTTTGCTTTGTTGACTTCACTGAGGTGCAAAGCTGGGGCAGCCCTGTAGGTCCGCAGTCCCCCCTCTTTCAGACGGTTGGAGATGCAGGTCGGGTGCAGATGAGGAGCGCCCGTGACCGCTCCCACATCCCGCACCGTCATGAAGGGCTGATCCTTCGCCAACTGTAGGATTGCAAACAGGTTGGTACCGTAAACGGGGTGACTTTGCCATGCTTCTCGAAAAATGCTTTAGGGAGATCTCCAGTGATATTTTACGAAGAATTTAATGTTTTTATGCACAAATGAAAGATAATTGATGGGTCTTCCAATATAACCTACACTGAGAGATAAGTTATCACTAAATACCTAACTGGGCTCCATTTTATTGGAGTCATTGAAATGGTCAAATTTGAAAAGGTCCGAAGTTTTTATTATCTAACCATGTTTTAGACCAACTACGATGCTGGAACTTGGTATGGTTGATCATGACAAGGCTGTTAACCCTCTAATTTTGCTACCACATAATAGTTGATGCTATCTGGTAAAATGGTGCGTTTAAACGAACCATTTTCCAATTGCAATAGGTGCCTGCCATTTAAGCGATTGTTAGCTCGCGCATGACTAAAGGGGATCTACAGGGCCTCCCCCCACCCGTTTTTTTTTTTTAATATCTTCTAGACCGCTAAGACTGCATCAATTGACACCTTGTGGCTAAATGGAAATTTCGTAGCTATAATAGGTTGTCCGGGAATGACGTTAGAGTGACGTCATGTTCCGCCCATTTTGATGCATAACATTGAACTATTTACCCTTATGGTTTTCATAAGCATATACATATTGGCTAGTGTGTAAACCAAAAAATGAACTTAATGTGATTTGTTAGCCGGCAGCCAGAGACCAAATTGTGAACCCGAACTAACCTGACCTGAATGGTGGGGTCATCGGAGACCTCGAAGTCAATAAAGAAGGTTTCGTCAGACAGCTCTTCTAGGGTTATATCAAACGCCGTTTGAATTCTGACAATCGGCCCAGTGATTTTGGATATAGGAGGGAGGGGGGACTCTAGAGCCCTCCCCTCCTCAGTCAACCACGTGATGGAAAGTAATGGAAAATATTCCAGGCATCACTTATCTAACTTACTATTCCAACAGAATCCGTCTGTCTGTGAGTGTGTGAGTGTGTGTGTCCGCACATCGTGTAGTGGGTTCAATTTGTTACGGCTACAGGGCAGACGGTTTGTCGTAGGAGATTGAAATTTGCACACCTTATAGGTGAAAGAGCGGGTCAACGCCTTTTCTAGGTTTTGACTCGCTGGGGTCCACGGTTGGCACGTGACGCGCGCCGGAAGAACGCCAATGAAATTTTGATCGGTTCGTAGATCTTCATTGAGAGCCGGGGTCGACAAACTTTGTGAACTAAATGCATGCCGATCGGCGGCGGGTGCCTCGCATTGGCGGATGGGCAAGTTTTAATTTGAATAAAAAGTGGCGAGAGAATGTGTTGATTTTCGTTCAATGGGAAGATTTTGTGATAGAAGTATAAAAACGCACCGCGTTTGCCGCAATGCGTCACATTGGTCACAAGGCGCCATTTTTGCCGCAGCTCGCACAGTTTTGTCAAATATGGCCCGAGAAGGGTACAATTTGGTGCAAGGGTGCATGCTCAAACGAAAGGTACAGATGCGCCGCATTTGCCGCAATGCGCCACATTTGCCACAAAGCGCCATTTCCGACAAAATCGAGTAAGGGTAATGGAATGGTACGAACAGGGGCAGGGCTGGGAACACTTTAAGTCTGATATTTTAGTACTGATTGGATCCAATTATTCTGTGACCTGACATGACCCAGCGGTGTTGGTAGGGGTAGGGGTAGGGGTAGTGGTAGGGGTAGTGTAGTGGTAGGGGTAGGGGTAGGGGTAGTGGTAGGAGTAGTAGTAGGGGTAGTGGTAGGGGTAGTGGTAGGGGTAGTGTAGTGGTAGAGGTAGGGGTAGGGGTAGTGGTAGGTAGGAGTAGTAGTAGGGGTAGGGGTAGTAGTAGGGGTAGTAGTAGGGGTAGTGGTAGGGGTAGTGGTAGGGGTAGTGGTAGGGGTAGTGGTAGGGGTAGTGGTAGTGGCAGATGTAGTGGTAGGGGCAGGGGTAGGGGTAGTAGTAGGGGTAGGGGTAGTAGTAGGGGTAGTGGTAGGAGTAGTGGTAGGAGTAGTGTAGTGGTAGGGGTAGGGGTAGTGGTAGGAGTAGTAGTAGGGGTAGGGGTAGTAGTAGGGGTAGTAGTAGGGGTAGTGGTAGGGGTAGTGGTAGGGGTAGTGGTAGGGGTAGTGGTAGGGGTAGTGGTAGTGGCAGATGTAGTGGTAGGGGCAGGGGTAGGGGTAGTAGTAGGGGTAGTGGTAGGAGTAGTGGTAGGGGTAGTGGTAGAGGTAGGGGTAGTGGTAGGGGTAGTGGTAGGGGTAGGGGTAGTGGTGGAGGCAAAAGTAGAACAGTGGCCCGGGCTGATCCCACCGGACGAGAGGTGGCCTATGTGACCTGGCCTGACCCAAAGTGACCGGGGCTGACCCCTTTGGCCCGTCTTGACCCCCTATCAGCCAAATTTCATCCAACTAAGCCCCCAGAACAGCTCTTTTATAATTCTCTTTACATTTCCGTCCAATATCTATGCTTCTAGCCAACACATCGATTTGAAACGAACACCATTCGAAAGCAAATTGGCTGGTGCCGCAATCTTTTCCTACCACGCAGCAAAGCAAGTGGCGCAGCCGCTTGTCTATATTACTATTTGAGGAGGGTGCGTCTGTCCGTTACCGAGGTCCCGACTTGGTGCTGCTTTGCGTGGACTACAGGCCAGACCGTTGCACCTAGCCCGGTGAAATTTGCACAACTTATAGATCAAGGATGCGCGACGTGCCTTTGAGGGGTCTGTGCTCGATCGGGTCGATAGGGAGCGCGTGGCGCGTGCACAAAAAGTGCAAATTTGCGTCATAGACTTTACATGTATAAATCGGCGTGCGAAATCGGGCGAAAACGGCTAATTTTGACCGACACGGGTCCAGTTCCTGTGCAATATCTTGGTGACCAGGGGTCCGACCGGCACGGGGAAAACAGCATCGTGTACAGAATTGAACGGGCTATTGAATGGTGTGCAATGCAGAGGATAGCACGCGCCACGTGCACCGGAGAGGGCACTTTTATTTGAAAAATTGCGTTTTTTGAGGGATTTTGGAATCAATTTTATTTTTAGGTGAACATTAAATGGAGCGAGTTGAATCAATGCCTATTTGCAAGAGAAAGGTACGGCCTCTCATATAAAAATTGTGAAAAGCTGATTGATCCAAATCAAGGTGGTGCAAATCACAGGAGAAAATGGTGTTTGTCAATTTTGTGCCACTTTATTAATCACACGGGGTTTGCTGCATAACCTGATACCTTTGGCAATTGAATATGGTACCATTGGATAGAGCATTCAATTCTGTCCAATATTCACTCTTCATTTTTGCATGATTAGCAACAGTATCCTTAAAAATGTAAATGTTCCAAACCATTACATTGTCATTTTTAGCGAAATTCATCGATGGCCCTCAAAAGACTTCACGCCAGTTTTCGAATCATTCTAAAGTAGAACGCATGATAATACGACACGGGCACCTCGATGCGATGCATCTTTTTTGTTTCACTACAAAATGTTTTGCCGTCAAAAAGCAATCGAACGAAATGGATACCAACCAAATCGACACAGACCAACCCAATACCCACGGGTCACAAATAACCCTTCTTCGCGTTGCGGAGCACGCGGGTAACCCTAGTTTGCTACTACTTTGGGTCGAAGAACTGGGTAAAAAAAGCTATGAGCGTAATTTTTCGGAGCTATCCCGGTTTTCATTAAAATTATCACACTATGTTCAAATTACCCTACGTCACAAATTATTTTGCCATATTTAAAAACTAGTTTCAAAAGCAAATATCTTGGAATGAAGGCACTTATTAGTTCATTGTATAACAAAAGCCGTTGCGTATTAGGCGCTAGCAATGTCAGATTTTTCGCTGCAATGAA